GCTACAGTTTACCCTCCCTCTATAAGAATTCCATCACTTGGTCTCAAAGGAAGACCGCAACTATCACATAAACCTCACAAGTACAAGGCTTCAAGGCTCCATGATCCAGATTTTGACTACCATGAAAAAGCTCCCTCTTGCCTACCCCGTACCTCTCTCTTCCTTCAGCAGCTCTCCTGGCAGGCTCCCAAACCTATCCTAATTCAATGCTGGCTGAAGCGCACCCTATTACTTTCAAGGCACAATACTGAGCCCTATAAAAAGGGGCACGGTGGTGCCACCAGAAAAGAGTTATGTGACCCTGGGTTAAAAAAAAAACAAAAACTTCATCTTTCTGGATCACATATGGCTCCCCTGTAAAGTGGGGAAAATACTATCTTCTGCACAAAGTGGTGAGGAGAATCCAATGAGAATCTAAGTGAAAACACTTAACAGAAAAGCACATCATGTCCTAAAACTGTGCCAGGCACTTTGACAAACACCACCACATACACCACCACATAGGGTGCATCTATGAAACATGCTCTGTAGCTCTCTCTGGACCTCGGGGAGAAACTGTAACAGAGGTTAATAGGCTGGACTCTGGAGTCTCTGATGTGGGTTCAGACACTATCTGGGCAGAATAAGGCACATCATTTCACCTCTCAGAGTCTCAGGCTCATTTGCAAAATGATATTATCTCTTAAAGACAATGTACCTATTAAATGACAAAAAGCCACATCAAGTACTTAACACAATGCCTGACACATAGCAAATGCCCAATTAACAAAGAGTAGTTATTATTATTATTACTACTCTGAGACTTCCCATCAGAGAAGAGGATGCTAGGACTAGCCTGACTTCCCTCAATGGGCCTCAGGATCCTCCTTCCCAAAATGGCAGAGCTTGACCTCTGCCCCACAGCACCAAGGGCAGCTGTGAAGCAGGGACTAGGAGAGCAGTTGATATCACCCTGTTATATTGTCTACCTAGTAATTACACAAAATTATCTTTTCCATGTATTCATTTTCTTACTTCCTATCTCTCTCTCCATCACAAGGTAGACTCCCGGAGAGGTCTTTGTCCGCCTGCTCCCGGGTGCACAGCCAGGGCTTAGCAAGGTGCCTAGGACCTAGCAGGCACTCAACAAATACCAGCTGAAGAAAGGAAGGAGTCCAAAGGGCTGGCTTGCTTTTTGCCACGCACCGAGCTAAGACCTATTTGAACGTAGTATTATCGTCTCCATTTTACAGATGAGGAAGCTGAGGTCCAGAGAGATTACAGCACCTGCGCAAGGTCGCACAGCAGGAATTCCAACCCAGGTGTGAATCCACAACCCAACTCTTTACCATCAAGCGATACTGCCTCCTACAATGAGGGTCCCCAGGGCTCCCGGCAGGGCCTACCTCGCCCAAACACGCCCCCTCCCGAAGCCCAGCCTCCCTGGGACCTCCGGCCGCGGCAGTGCGGGTTCCACACGACGGCAGCTGCCCAGAAGCCCCCACGCTGCCGACAAGTAGCCCCACTTCCGGCCTGAGGCCCCGCCCCCCGGCAGAGGGAAGCGCGCGCCCCCCGGCTCAGCCCGCGCGCCGGGTCACGGCCCCGCCCTTCCCCCCACCCGGCCCGAACCGCACGGCAGTGTGGAGCAACCCGGGCGCAACCAGCAGGGCCTATCGGTGCCTGCCCGGCCTTGGCCCACCTGCTGTACCGTACATCGTCTCGTTCAAACCGCGGGACCCCGCCCGCTCGCCCGCGCGATGACCTCACACGCAGCCCCCCGTTACGCACCGACGTAAAGGCTCATCATCGCCCGCCGGCTCCTTTTATAGAGAGGGACTCAGCCGCGCGCCGGGGGCGGAGCCCGGCCCTTGATCGACGGCGGGGGAGCCTAGGGGCAGGGCGCCGACTGCAGGGGCCGACTGCGGCACGTGGTCGGCCGCAGCCAATGGGGTCCCGCCTCGGGCCGGGTGTGACTCCGCCTAGAAGGCGGGGTCAGCTACAAATTCTCCAAGGCAGTAGCCAAGAGGATTGGTTACAGTGAATTTCTACAATTATTGGGTAATAGATGCTCGATAGGCGCTTCGAGGAAAGACGTTGAAGTCACCTCAGAGACGTTCTGTCACCACCCCATCTATAATGACCCTGTAATATCAGCACCGTTTTTGTTTTATTTTTTAAAAGATGACCGGTAAGAGGATCTTAACCCTTGACTTCGTGGTGTCAGCACCACGCTCTCCCAAGTGAGCCACGGGCCGGCCCTACGACCCTGTAATATCATCCGGTTTATTTCCTTCTAAGTACCACATTAAGACGTCTTGTTTGTGTACGCTTTTTTGTGTCTTCCTGTAAAGTCACGGAAGCAGTGGCCCTCAGTCCTGGTCCCGGTTGTGTCCCAGTATACAAACCAGACTGAATGCTAGGCAGGAACAGGATGTGGCAGGGGTAGTGGCACTTATATTGTATGCAGCGGGGTCCTAGAGGCCTCTGAAGGCCAGGTCTCATTCTGTTTAGTTGCTGAAGCCTGGGGAAGTGCTCAGGGGAGAATGGGTGGGGAGCTGGGGCAGGAGCTGTCTATCAACTGGTCTGGAGGCATTTTGGTATTTCAGCCACTAGTACTGCTAGTTTCTATGGTATGCAGTTCTCCAAAAGCACATTACAAGAGACCTGGCCTCACCTTGACAGTGTGGGAAGGCTTCCCAGAAGTGACACTTGCCCTGAAAGATGACAAGTTACCCTGGCAAAAGTATTGGGCTAGGAAGAGCAAGCCAGAGGTAACAGCAAAGAACCCTGTAACTAAATGCGGTGGGCAATGAGGGGCACAACTTTAACATCAGATGCTGCTGTTGTTACATTCTGCCTAGCTGCTATGCAACATCTGAGGAAATAACACCCTTTTTTAAAAAATTCATTCAACATACCAACATACATTTGAGGACGTGTTATGCGTCATTCACTATGGTAGACACCATAGAAGGGATGCTAAGATAAATCAGGTGTATTTTGGTGGGGGGGAGGGGGCGCTGGCTAGTATAGGGATCAAATCCCATACCAGGGTCAATTAGGTGCACATTCTACTTCAAGTAGATCTCCTGGTCCTTTTTAAGACTTATTTTAAGATTATTAATACATTAATAAGCATTGAATATCACTATCACTACCGACACCCAGTCATGACTGTCATTAACACCACACTAACAACTCTTGCTTTTACGATAACACCACCTAATACATGTGAAGGACTTGTTGCCTGCCAGGTACCAGGCAAAGCTCTTCACCCAGATCAGGCCCGTGAACACCCACAGCAACCCTAAGAAGTAGGTACGACTTATTATCCCCACCTTTTAGGTGAGAGATGAAAGAGGCTAAGTCACCTGCCCAAAGTGACACGACAGCATGTCTGATCCCAGACACAGACCTAATCCAACTGCAAGACTGCTTTCAGAAAAGGCCTGCATGTGGGTCAGCCCATGGCTCACATGGGAGAGTGCGGGTGCTGATAAAACCAAGGCCACGGGTTCGGATCCTATATAGGGATAGCCAGTTGCTCACTGGCTGAGCGTGGTGCTGACAACACCAAGCCAAGGGTTAAGATCCCCTTACCCGTTTTTTTTTTTTTAAAAAAAGGCCTTCATGAGATGCAAACTCCAACCTCTTCCCCATTCTCCCCTTGCCACAGAGCCTGGGATCACTCACATCTAAGCCTGGCCCCATCATAAGAAAACACAGAATTAGCCCCACAGCCCCTTCCGCCAAACAATCCCCCACCCAGACAATGCCCCACAACCAGGCCAGGACACCCAAGGGCCCCTCACCTGGAGGGCCAGTCCATCTCCTCTATTTGGGTTTTGAGGACGGGGCTGTTTATTTTGCTTCATCCTGTCCTGGCATTTAGCACAGCACTGTACACAGGTGGCCTAATTGGGCAGCCAAGGCCCCTAGGGTCTCAACATCTCAGAGGGAAGAGTATGGGCCCAGCTCACTAATTGCCAGCTGTCTCACCATGGCAACTGGCACCTGGGCTGTTGTACCCCAGAGGCACCTCCCTAATAACATACTTGGTTTCTCATCCATGCCTGAAATTTCTTCCCTCCAAAGCAAAATCTGGGCCAGACCATGTGGGAACTTGACCTTCTGGCACTACCCATCTCTCACATCAAGACACTGAGATGTGCATGTTCATCCCACTTACACACCTTATTCCTTTGCTACATGCCCTAGCTAACCAATATGGACCTCTAGAGATGTTTTCATCAGCTCCTTTTCCCTAAAAGAGGCTAGAAATATAGCATGATGGGCTCTGGGTTTGGGACACCTGCCTGGTGTCCCCAGGTAAACTAAGATAAAACTATTAGAGTTGCAATACGAGGCTTAGAAAAGCAACAGGTAATACAAGTGCTCAAGAATTGGTAGGAATGGTCAAGTCTGGAGAGTCAGTTCACTGAGAACCACATTCCATCCAAGGGGCTCTGTTGGAATCACAGAGCTACTCCCAACCAACATGACAAATTGGGAGCTGTGGAATAACCTCTGGAATCCCATGTAATCATGAAGAACTGTAAGAATCAGCCCTGGGATTCTTCGCTCCAGTCATGAGTGGAGGTTACCACCTTAATCAGCTCCCCAAGATCTGTAAGTCTAGAAATGGGGAAAGTCATCAAGCCTTTAAATGAAATTAAACACCCCAGCCACATCTGGAAACCAAGATTTAGATATCCACTCACTAGCCCAGTGTAGTCCCTGGACCAGAAGCATCAAATTCCTAAAGCTCACCCTAGACTTTCTGCATCAGACCCAGCAATCACAACTTTAATAAGCCCTCCTGGGGATGCTGATGCACTGGACTGTGAGTATCACTGCACTGGACCATAAGCTCCATGTCTGCTCGGGGTCATCATGGTTTTACCACACTACACTTGAAGGAATGAATGAATGACCTACTTCAACCACCCACCATTATACTTTAGCCAGGCCCTACCATGCCCCATCCACCAGACCTGCAGAAGAAAAGGGACACCAGACTGTTATAGAGAAATACTGATTTTAATTAAATGTAATAAGGTAAACTCTAGGCATCTGTCCATCTTTCAGCCTAATAATTACCAAAAACTGTTGAAACAAGGCACAGTTTTTCCCCATACTCGTTATGTGACTCCAGTTACAAAAAAATTTTAATGAAAATGTTAAACATAAAAATAGAAGTCTGAGATTAAAAAAAAGTGTATAAAAATTCCCACAAAACTTGTCAATGTTGTTCCTTATTCTACAAAATAGCACCAGTAATTAGAGTAAAAGGTGTTAAAAACCATTACGACAGCATTTCTGAAATGCGGCTTGTCTGACCTCCCATTCCCCTAAAAACGACTTACTGTGGAATAAAAAGGGATTTAAAAATCTCGAGGGAGGATCGAGCTTTTATTGCAGTTTCCCCCTGCCATCTCTTAGAGAGGAGGGAAAAGGGTGAGGAATGTGCTTTTGCCCCTGGCTGTCACTGCTTCTGAGTTTAGAAAAAGGATGAGGAATTAGGATATCATCTGGGGACCTGTGCCTGTTGGGGGAGGGGTGTACATCTTTAGGAGAGGGGTTGGGGGCGGGGGGGGGGGGTCTTACCCAAGCTCCCTCCTTCCCGCCCCCCACATGGGGAAGAGGAAAGGAGATACTGAGAGGCTGTTAATTGTCTATATAACATATGGCAGCTTACATTACATAATTCAGACCACCCCTTCCTGAGCTCCCCAGAGGGTTCTATTGCAGTCATGGGGAGGGATTTTGCTAACGGTGGTCCCTGCCCTTCGGTTTGTGGGGGAAAAATAGCCCTGAATGTGATGATGATGTCATCCCTGCTGAAATCATCATCGTTGTGGAAAATACTCTAATGGGAAGACTCCAGCCCTTGTATTGAGGCAAGGGGAATGTGCCAGGTAAAAATCCAAGAAAGACATATACATCATTTCCTCTCCTGATAGCCCTAGGAATAACATCCTGGGCCATTAAAATGTCCCTTAGCTACATGTCTACAACTGCACACTCCTGTAAACACAGAGCAGCAGACATTAAAAAACTTAGTCTTGCAATGACTGTCTTGGGTGATTTTACAGCATTAAACCTGAGTATTGGAGAGCTGTCAGTACTGGGATTTTGGTATCTTAGCCACTGTTTCTGAGTGGTAAACCCAGGAGGGAAAAAAAAGCCATATTACTACCTACACTTCAAGTTTTTAAACGTTTTAGGAGAAGAAAAATGAGCACCATGTCTGGCCATTCTGGGCGGCCAGGTCTGAATTGTGCACAAAGAGGTGGCACCTCAGGCTCTCCCTGCAAAGAGAGGGCTGGGTGGCTCTGCTCCCACCAAGCAGTGGGGGAGAACTGAGGTATGCAGTCAGTGAGACCCCCACACAGCTGGGCTGAGGAGGGGCAGAGCCTGGGGATGCTTCCCCCTCCTGGGTCCTGGCTCTGCCCCACACACCTCAGGTGCCCCCAGTGCCTGGAGGGGACTATTCACATGCAAAGTAGTCCTTCAGAGGGGCGAAGAGGTGTCGGATGACAGGCACGCTCCAGGACCTCCCAAGAAGCTTCTGGCGGGCTCCCCGGCCCATGTTGGACACATCCGTGTAGTGTACAGGAAAGCCGAAGATCCTGGGAAGGAGGGGCACCAGGGTAAAGAAGATAGGGAGTCAGACGTGCCCTCCAGCATGCTTAGAGGCTCTGGGAAGTTCTCACCTAGGCCGGAAAGGTAATGATCTTTCTGCCCCTTAGCCTCATGTCTTCAGTCAGGCATACTGGGCCTTCAAATGAGCCTCTCCTGAACCCCCAGGAGGTCCAGGTCTTCAGAATACTGGCTCACAAATGACTGTCATCGAGGGCATGGGTCCTCCGTGAAGGCACCTGTTTTATACCTCCCTGGCACCAGTACTATGATCCTGGCACATGGTTGGTGCTTAGTAGGCATTTTTGAACGAATAAATGATCCATGCATTCACTTTATACTGAGAAACCAATTTACAGTGAGTACACCTAAGCAGCCTGAGTTTTCATTCCCTTTTCAAACTCAGTTGCTGGATTAAGGGCCAGGTTCTATGTGATTTTACCAGGCCTGGTAAGAGGCTAGATATGCTGAATCTCAGTATTACCCAGGTTTAAATCACACCTATGGCCGAATGGGTGTTAAACATGCCAAAAGAGCAGCACCTCAGGCCTATTTCTTTGCCTATCTGAGAGCCAACTGCACCATCTCTAGTATCATGAGCCCAGCATTTTATGCTTGGGTCTCAGAATACAGAATAACCCATAGCATGAATAGATTGGGCAAGATTACCTACCAGTTTTTCTTTCACTAATCATAAGTTACTTTTTTTATACTAGGAAAACTTGTTGTTAGGTCAAAGAAAAAATAAAACCAGATGTAGAATACTCTGTATCAAAGCCTATGGAATACAGCCAAAAAAATGTAAAGAGGAAAATTCACAGCCTTACACAACCACATTACTAGCAAATTATAATAAACACTAAGAACAAATAAAAAAACAACAGAAAATAGGAGTAAGAGAAAAAACACCCAGACAAGACATGGTTCTTTGCATCGAAATAGACAAAATTAGCCAAATAAAGGGAAGGGGGAGAGGACAGACTTGGCTAAGCAGGAATTAGCTATAGAATGTGCAACTTTATAGAAAGAGCAATGGCATGTCTGTGGGGTTCTCTTTAGCAGATTCCTCATAACTCACAGTGTTGCAGCATGTTGGGACAGGCAGATGTCAGGGCAGTGCAGCCAGACAGATGGTGCTGTCTAATGACCTCATGTCTCCGATTCCTACCATCGCCACCCCCTGAGCTATTTAGGACAGGAATTGAGGACTTGGAAAAGTTATTATCCCCAGGCCCAGTAACGTCGAAAGGCAGTGAAACCATGAAGAATCAAGGCAAGCACCTGCCCACTGGTGCTGCTGGCCTTAACCAGGTTCCTCCCCTTCTGTCTCTGCACCATTTCCGTCTCCAAGTGCAGCCTTGCTCACCTTTCGAGCTCAGTGCACCACAAAACATCTTCTTTGCCATTCATGACAACAGGGAAAAGTTGATTTTTCCCCTGTTTGATCGAGTTCGACTTGGTGGTTATTGTCTGTACTTTCTTTAACTGGAGAACAAAACGACATCATGGAGTAAGCACAGAATGAAAGGTTCTCGGTAATGTCAAGGCTCAAAAGCAGAGGGCAGGTGCGGGAGAGAGGTGGGCTTGAAGAGGGAGTGAGAAAAGGACAGTTGGAAGGACAAGAACATGTGCGCTTCCCACGAATGCCAAGAAGTTAATGCACAGGAAGGACCAGTCTCAGAGAATGAGATAAAGTGACCACGAGTAAGATTACATGGGGGCCAAGAAGACATCAGCCAGTTACTGATCAAGTGTGATTACATTTAAAAATAAAAACCATCCAGATACAGAGAATGGACAAATGGAACATGACTTTATGCAAACTTTGAGAACTAGGTTTATGGAGGTCTTAATACAGCTATCTACAACTTGACAACAGATAATTTTTTTAAAAAAACAAAAATACAATCACTCCTTTCTTACTGGGAGGGTATCTAGCACTATGTATCCATGTACCAAGCACTAATAATTGGCAAGTCTAGTTGCCTTTGTTCATGGTGATTGCTTATCAAGAATGTCTCCTACTCTCTGTACTTGAAGAGGGACAGAACAATAATGTGGGGAAAGGGCCCAGCACCAGGGAAACACGTGAACCAAAGAGTAGGAACCAAGTGGACTCCAAGGTCATCTACCAAGTTCCCACATGGAGGACACCAGTGCATTTTCTAGAGGGCCATGGTCAGACCATTTGTGAGCACGTCTTACCTTTGCTGTCCTACTGTATTCCAAGCAGTCCTGTAGCTCGAGTTTATCATTCTTTGATGCTATCACAGGCCTGGGAACAGCCAAAACCCATTACTTTTCTACCATCTTTAGGGAGTCCTTGGCTAGGCACCTAGCCCAGGCACCTGGGAGTGAGGGCCTATGCTGCAAAAATGTGCCCTGGCATTGAACTTGATACAAATACATGATGAAAATGACCCTGGCATGAGCACAAGTCTGTGTGCCAAAGCCAGGGATGGACCAGCCCAAAAGGGGGAACTAATGTCCCCCTTCCTCAATTTTCATATTAGTCAAAGCCGGACTCCCACTGAGGAAGTTACCCTCTCTCGTCTCCAGACCCACTGCTCACTGGCTGAGTGACCTTGAGCAACTCATGCTACCTCACTGGTCTCCGTGTCAAGTGAGGAGCTTGCATTTGATCTTTGTGGGTCTACTTTCTACAACTAGCACATCACACCCATGATTTGGTGGTTCACTGCAGGGGATGCAGCCTGATGGGGCTTTAAGGAATGAAAGTGGCTGTTATTAAGAAGGACAGGGGGTGTTTCACAAAATGACTAATTACTTTCACCCTTGACACCTATTCTGCACATGTGGAGAGAGGCAAACAGATGACTTAAAGGGCAAGGGATAGAACTGAAAGCAGCTGAGCTGTTCCATAGCAGAGGCCAGTGCAAGAGGTGTGAATGTGGAGTTGATGAGCACCAAAGTAACCAGCATGAGAATGGAAACTGCCCACGAGAGGGGCAGGGGGAAATCACGCTAACATTTCCCTAGACTTGTCAATTTGACCTCAACTTCCAAGTTTCAAAATCAACCCTATCCCAATACCTCCGTGGACCCAAGGCAGTTGAGGAACCAGGAGGAAAGGCTATGGTACAGCCCTGCTTTGGGCTGATTCTAGGCTGGAGATCTAAACAAACGAGATGATTTGGGTGGGTCTCTGCCCCGACTGATGCTTGACACAGCCATCCTATAAACCTGCAGAGCTCAGCCACAGCAGCTCAGTCATACCTCACTGTTTCACCTGATACCCACATGCAAAAACATTCTGAATCTGACCCCTTACTAAGTCCACAGGATTGTCATGCTGCAAGCCACAGAAGCCACCACTCACATTGTGTTCTCTATGGATTGAACCTCTTGGGGCACATCAGAGTAAACATTCCTCTCTCCTCCTTAGAGCAACCCAACCACCTCACTTGTCTCCCCATTTCTGCCCTAGTCTTGCTATAGTCTCCATCCAAAAACTACTGTTAACCTAAGACACAATTCATCTCATTTGTCTAACACCTCCTGTAATCTCCCAAGTCAAACAATGTGGTACCACATTTAAGGCCCCACATTATTTGGCCCTAAACCTGGAGTTCTTTGTCTTTCTCTCCTATCACACATACCCCTGTTCTAGGGCATGCTCTAAAAACTGCATGGTTCCATTCCTTCATCTAGGGCCCTGCTGGAATGAGAAACCATCCCTCCATCCATCCTTCCAATGTCCACACAGCCATGAACCTGAAAGCATTTACTGTCTTCTGTTCCCTCCACCATTAACATGTCAATTTCCTGAACACAAGACTGACACTGATGTGTTCATCAATGAAATGACAGCATCACAATAGTGCCTGGTGGAGTGAGAGATCAAATGTTGAGTGAATAAACCCATTTAGTTCCAAATATGAACATGGTACCATTTTGACTGGCTGATTACCCAAGTAAAAATGCAAGCTATCCAAGAGAAATCCTCCAAGCTACTCCAGGACCCTCACCTCTGTCCACACTTTGCTAAATGCTAAATACTTCTTCTAAAGAATGTTTTTAAGCTTAACTCATTTGCAAGTCTGGGGTGTCGCATTTTGCATCTTGATTAGCAAGTTGTTCTTAAAACCATGTATAGAGAAGGTGATTGATCCTTAGCAGAGCCATTCACTCTGTGGCTTCGACATGTATAAAGAGAACTACCTTTGGTACATGACAAAAATCCAAGGGACAACCTTAGGCCTACCATTTGTCATCTAAGCAGTACCACCTGGTCAATCACTATAGGCCTGGTCCAGGGGTTGGAGGAAAGGCACCTCCCAAGTATCCCATATCCTGATGGATATCCCTAGAGAAGCTAGGGGAAGAGGTGGGGTATAGAAGCATCAACAAGTTGAATTTTCAAGATCCCCCCGATATCACTGACTGGGGAAAAGATACTTCACCTGGCTATATATAGCATATGGGCCATCTGCAACTTGAACCAGTCAGAGTAGGACTGAGGAATCCTGGCCTGAGATTCCTAGGTTTTTGCTGCACAGGAATCAACATGACAGGTTGGTCTGAAACCCAGAGTAGGGCTATTTCTAAGCAGAGCCAACTCTTTCTAGAATGCTCAAACATCAGAGCTGACATCATTAGCTATACTTTACTTGGCTATTACCTGTCCCACTCAAGAGCCCCTGGTTACCTGTTCATCCCAGGTAGGTTGCCCCAGAAGTACCGGGCCCTGTGAGCAGCAGAAACTTTGATAGCATCAATCATCACTGGATTACACTGCAGGGAGAGAGAAGGGGAGCTGCTAGGAGTCCACATCAAAATTCAAGTATCGGGGCCAGCCCGGTGGCGCACTGCTACAGTGCGCCGCTTGGGAAGCATGGCGGCGCTCCCGCCGAGGGTTCGGATCCCACATACAGACCGGCCGCTCACTGGCTGAGCGAGGTGCGGGAGCAACACCAAGGGTTGCGATCCCGTTGCCGGTCCCGGTCCGGTGCGGGCACGACACTGAGGGTTGCAATCCGTTGCCGGTCACGAAAAAAGACAAAAAGGAAAAAAAAAAAAAATTCAAGTATCAACCAGAGTGGGGTGACCTGTGCAGGTGACAGGGCTGGCAATGAAGACACCAGATGAGTGTGATGCAGTGTGAGCAGTATGTCGCTGGTACCACCCGACTGCCAGGTTCACAAAGCAAGAGGGAACAACCACTCCATCACCTTTTGGACAGAACCTGAGCTCTAACGATTTTGGGAAAATTAAATGAGCTCAGTGTACAAAAAATATTTCAGTGTAAAAAGAGTATTTCCCACAGTGCTTATAAAGCATAGTAAGCAGTAGATAATTAACTTCCCTGTGACCCCTAATGCAGTTCTCAGAACAAGGATGAAAAAAAAGAACTATCTAGAGTAAGGGCTGAGCCAAGCCTCCTGGTAGTTTTGTCACAATGGGTCAGGGTGAGGTTAGAGATCATCATATTTTCCATGCACGCTGAGAACCCACTGAGTCCCTCACTCTTGGATCTAGCCACATCCTCCACCAAGAACCCAGAAGCCATGTCCAACATTGGCCATGCCCACCAAAACCCACTTCTTCATTGGAGTCTTCCCACCCACGTTGTCATGCCTCTAGGTCCCCTCACCTCCAGGAACCGTGAGATGTCCTTCTTGTCATCAACCTTCATGGCTACAACATTCTCAAACATCCAAAAGAAGGGTCGGTCATCACCCTCCTTTGGGCGTGAGTAATTCAGCAGGTGGTAAAACTCAAAGAAGAGCCGGCCTGTGCCCTCTGCATCCACAAAAGAAAACAGCAGGGTCATTCAAAATATTCCCTGAGACCAACAGACTCCTAATGATCCCCTACCATTCCCTATTGACCTGAAGTCTTCTGATATGATTCAGCAAGGACACAGGCAGCAGCAGGGCACTATTTATTAGTACACAGCCCCAATAGGCCCCTGAGGTGCCCAATCAAGTGGGCCAGAAGCCAAAAACTCCTTCTCAGGCAGCTCCACCTGGACCAGCACTCAGGTGACCTGGGGTCTCTGGTGGATATCAGAAAGGAGGATGCTCACCGTACAGGCCTTTCCTGGCAGGATTCACATTTGAGAGGTCATTGCATGGGCTTCCACCGATCACCAAATCAAACGGGCCCCATTCTTCAATCTGGGAGAGAAAAACTCAGGCTCAGGGGAGGGATGGGGGTGCATTCCAGGGAATCTGGCAAGAAAACCCATTTCTAAAATCTTGATTGGTCACCAACTCTACTTCTGACCCAAGAAAACTTAATATGCTCGGGATTCCCTAAGATTTATATCATTCTGAATTATTTCTAAGCTGAAGGTCTTCCCACTACAACTTCAAGTGACCACGGGTTCTATCACAATGCTGGGCCCCAGGGTTGGGGACATGATGACATGAGAGTGTGGGGTTCAGTGTGTGGGAGTGCAGAGTACAAGGAGAAGGACATGAACCACACAAGGGTATTGACCGCCCTCACATTTTTCTTTGTGATGTTCCTGACGTCATTCACATATTTGATATTTCCCTCATGCTTGACGGTGCCAACAGCGATGGACTCTTCACACACTTCAGAGGCGACATACTTTTCCACCTTTATGCCCAATTCTTTAAGGACCAAGTACCCTGTGGGGGGCCAGGGAGGCACAGAAGAACAAATGATGCCATGTGCACAGCAGCTCATTTCCACTGCTTCCTGCTCTGGAAAAATGAGGATATTCCTCAAAACCACATGACTGTGCAGGCAGAGGATTAAACGAGTTAAATCCGGCAAAGCTCATCGGGGCGCCACGCACACTAGCTGAGCTTACTCCACACATGGGGAAAGCTTGGGGAACAAAAGAGAACCAAGACTGGGGATAGCAGCAGTTGCTGACTAATATTTATGCGTCTAGAATGAAAATTTTTCAAGATGCCTGCACTTAAATAAAATGGGACAACCAATGGAGAGGGGTCATGGAGAGAAACAAGAAGTCAGTGTGGTTTTCTCAGCACAGGTACAAACCCAGGCACCTTTCTTGGCATTGATTTTAAGATGTCAGGGCCAGGCCTTCTGACTCCTCAGCTATTCCCCAACAATGTGGTGGCCAGTAAACTTGCCAACTCACCTGTCGCAATTCCATCAAAGAGGGACAGGACTCGAATGGGCCGCCTTCGGGCTGCAGGAATTGCAGGGAACAACTTGGGGGCTTCCTGCCAGGTAACAAAGGAGGGTCATGGAGATAAAGGAACAGAGGAGGGCTGACCCTCAAAGAGATTGAAACCCTGCCATGCTAGCTTTTATGGGGACTAGTGAGAGAACATGTAACTGGCCAGCCTTAGACGCAGATGAAATATAAAGGCATTACCCTAGTCCAGAATGACCTTGGGCCTTCCTCTAAGAACTGGAAAATTTCCTCCTACTAAAATAAGTAAGTCACAGCCTTCCCTCTTCAGCTCTACAAACTCAGGAGGTTGACTTCAACAAGCACTTCTTCATCTGACCCATGAACATCTACACACTTAGCAGGGGCAACCCCTAAATAAGCCTAAAAGCTGTACACAGATGCATACAATGGACCTTCACTTCCATTAACTCTTACTATGAGTGTTCCAGACCCCTGTGGCCCTAGTGGGGATGGACAAGGAAGCCTGTGGCTTACGAATTCATGTCCCATATCACTGGTGAAGAAAGCCTGCAGGCGCACGGTCCAGTCCTTTCTGCGCCGTAGGATGCCGTGACAGCGCTGTGGGAGGCACATGTAGCAGCTCCAGGGCTCCTGGAGCTTGGCGTCTGCCGCCGTGCCCACGCCCACCAGCACCTCCAGGCACTCCACACAGAAGCACCTGTGCCCAGGGAAAGGGGAGAAGGGATATCAGCTCTTCCCACCCATCCCCCACCTCCCAGGGAGATGGTCTAGGGGGATCCAACTGTTCCACAGCCGGGAATGCAAGGCCCTGCGTGATGTGGGCTACACTAACCTCTTGACTCCAGTCCCTTCATCCCACAAGCTCTTTGCACAGAAACATTCTCCCAACACCCTAGTCAATTCCCATGGACCCTCTGCATGTCAGGCCATTGGTAGATCTCCTGGTCAACTGAGTACCCAAAGGCTGTAGTAATCACAGGGCACAGCATGGAAGCCTTGGGGCCCACCCATGTCTCACCGGCAGCAGCTTGTGTTACTGCAGAGAAGCAGCTCGCGGCCCTCACAGCACACAGTGCAGTAAGACTGATAACCATCATCATCGTACATGTAGAACAGCTCGAGGAACCGATCCTGGCACCCAGAGAGAAATATCTGTGAAACTGGAGACCAGGCACAGCAGGCCCTGCTTGCTGGCTGGGTGAGGCCCCAGGACACAGCCACAGAGCAAGTTGCTGGTGGCTTGGTGTCCTTTACAGGGACAACTGGCTGTGGTCTACATGCCATTGCTGATAAAGTCCTCTGCTGCAGCACCCTCCCCTCAGCGAGGGAGGGTGGGGGTGAGAAGCCCTGAGAGAGCTTCACTAATGCTTACACAAAGGTGCTACTTTCTGGGGAAGCATGGGAAAGTTTGTGAAGGAAGGGACAGGAAAGTCCAGGACTTACCCGGCACGTCTGGCAGAGCCCACCTTCAAAGAGAGGGTGGAAGGAAACAGGGCTTTTCCTACCACAGGACAAACAGTTATCTGTAAGAAAGACAGGGGTGTAGCTTGAAGCAACCAAGGTCCTAACATCAACTGCGGAAGCCTTGGGTCTAACAGTTCTTGAACATTTATGCCACCCTGACAATGTGAAGGACTCTTCACGCCTTATGCCTTTCAACAATGTTTCAAAAGTGCCATCCTCATTTCAGAGATGGGGAAAAGTCAACACCAACAAAGACAATATCTCAAAGGGCAAACAAAGGGCTGGCCTGGTAGGAAAACCCAAGGCAAATGCTGCACAAGGGTCTCCAGCAGAGAGACAGGCTCTGAGAGCCTGCTACAAAAATTTCTCTGGCCCTTTAAAGGCTGGGACATGGAGGAATTTTGGTGACTCCAGTTGTCTCATGACAGCACTTGCCTGTGACCACGCCCTGCAAGCACAGCACATGGCTGCAATGTGAGCTCAGGTCTAAACAGCAGGCTATCCTGCCCTCCCTGTCAAACTCAGGACTGATTTGCAACACTGGGCCAGTAGACAGGACATTCATAATGTCTAAGACCATCTTTAGCCAGATAGGACAAGTAGATAAGTGTTGGGGCATAGATAGGGAAGCTTACAGGTCAGTTTCCAATAATGTCAGGGACTGCTCCAAACCCAAGTTTTCCCAGGGCCAGGGGCTGTTGTGCTATCCTACCAAGTATTGAGTAACCGCTCAGTAAAGAAAGAAAAGCACTCAATATAAACCACTCAGGGTCAGTTTCCAATAATGTCAGGGACTGCTCCAAACCCAAGTTTTCCCAGGGCCAGGGGCTGTTGTGCTGTCCTACCAAGTATTGAGTAACCGCTCAGTAAAGAAAGAAAAGCACTCAATATAAACCACTCAATAAACAGATTGAGGATGAGGAAGCAAGGGACAGTTGGTCCTCACATTTTATGAATCATATTAGATATGTTCTAGCCAGAATATTTAATTCAGTGACAATTACCAGCTGGACAGCAGACCAGTCAGCTTGAGAGCACAACACTGGATTAGTGTAATTTACCTAAAAGCTAGCTCAAGATGCTATCAACGTCAGTTTCAGATTTTGGGCTCTCTTGGCCAAAGTGCCCCAGCTCCCACTCTGCCCTCAGCACATTCCTACTCAGGTATCTCAATGAAAATCAGGCAACCCATTCTGTAAAATGTAACAAGATGCAGGGAACAAAAAAGGCCTCCATCTGAGATCACAGTACAGAGCTCTGGGTAAACACAGGCAGGGCAGCCAAGCCAGGGGGAGGCATGCCTCATGTACTCCCTAGGGCAAGAAGAGAGGCCCGGGCAAGAACATTACCTTCCAGATTGCTCTTGTTGTTGGTAACATCTGAAGCCATTTGTTCTATTGAGAAAAGAGAGAGAAGGTATGTTGCTAACCATCACACCCTCTGAAGAGAACTCTCACAACCTGCCGCTCCTGATCACAAGTAAAGGGCCCCCCCAGCCTGCTCACCCTCCCACAATCACCTCGGCTCTGCTCATCCTCCCCGCGATCTTTGCCATTATAGTAACTTGTCCTGAGGCGCTTGGGTGGGGGGCAGTAGTCAGAGGTGTCAGCTGTGCGTCTTCTGGTCTTGTTCTCTGTGAAAGGTAAGGAGGTGGCAGGGGTGGCTTGGGAGGAGGAGGGTCCAGCGAGAACATGGACTCAAAGACCATGCTATGCTTGGCTGCCAACTGCATCCGGGGTAGGACAGGAGTCCACAGAGGGTTTATACAGCACCAAGATGGGCAAATCAGAGAAGGAACAAACTCAAAACCACTCGTGCCCAGAATCCTAACATGACTAACATGTGTTGATGGGGTTTTAAACTGCTATTTGTAAAAGAACACATCTTTCTAGACCCAGCTCACAGAACATCAAGTCTCAGTCCACAGCTAAACCCCTGGAACCTCTATGTTGATGACGTCCAACATACTGCAGATAGCCACATGTGACTGTTGAGCACTTGAAATGAACCTAGTGACTAAGGACCTGAATTTTACATTGAATTAATCTTAAAATCAATTCAAATACTGACAAGTGATTCAATTAACTGGTTCTTTGGACTAGTTTAGACATGTGGATCTACTTTCCCAGATATAAATTTTGTGATTTTGTTGATAATAGATCTGTATTTACTTAATAATCTGTACTTAGTTAATACAGATCAGTTATTTCCAATGAATTGAGATGAGCCACAAGACTGTGAAGTCAGTACTAAAAGGAAATGTAAAATATCAATTTTATAATTATACGATTAAATTATATAATTATATATAGATTAAATTTTGAAATGCTAATATTTTGGAAATACTGTTTAAATAAAATGATTTGTATTAATTCACCTGTTGTTTTTAACCCATAAATGAAGCTACTAAAATTTTTAACTACATTATGTGGTTCCCATTTATACTTATATTCAGTCTATCCAGTGAACTATAACATAGTTAAATCTGACTCTGCCCCTAGGAAAGAAAATTACACAGGCATTAAAAATCATAAGGATCCATTAACGACAAAATGGCATTGACAGTGCTTATGCTATTAATAGAGAAACAAAGGGGAAAACCAACTAGTGTACAGAAAAAGCTGGAAGGGCATGCACCCAACAATGTTAACTGGGGGGCACTTGTGAGGGTGGGGAGTGAGGTGGAGGGTAGGATGGGAGCTCAGGTTGACTTAAAGAAATTTGATTCTTTTTCAGTGACCAATGTATCAAGTAATCAAAAGTAATTAAAAGAGAGTGCAGACAAAAATAGCCCATAGTTAAAAGATGGGAGGGGAATACCGTTTTTCCTTGATTCTAACTTCCTATTGCCTGAACGACGCACCTTCGACTTATTAACCACTTTTTGGGGGGAAACAAAAGACAGAAAACATTACATCAAAAGTACATATCTTAAGACATGTCTGAGATTTCGGGCAATTAGGAATTCTGGAAAATGGAGGAAATTTGGTATTGGTCCAAATGTTATAGGTGGGTTATGGGATTTTTTCTTTTCCAGTTTTCTATGACCTCCCATTTACTCAAGTTTCCAGGACAGAGTCAATCTAAATTTTATGTCCCTAGGGTCCCGCACCAACATGGCCAGGAAAGCCAAATAAGGCTGGCAGGGCATTCACATGCCCTGGGCCTTTTTTTTTCAAAGAAACAAATTAACAGAGTGAAAAGACAGCCAGCAGAGTTAGAGAAAATATTTGCAAAATATACATCCAACAAAGGATTAGTATCCAGAATATGCAACGAACTTCAACAACTTAATGGTTAAAAAAAAAAAAAAAAAAAAAAGCCTTATTAAAGGAGCTGAATAGACATTTCTCAAAGGAGGGTATAAGTGGCCAACAGTCACATGAAAAATATCAAAATATCAATGATATTCTTCACAGAAATAGAAAAAACAATCCAAACATTCATATAAAACCACAAGAGACCCCAAAAAGCCTGAAAAAAATGCCCAACATCACTCAGTTAGAGAAATGCAAATCAAAACCACATTGAGTTATCATCTCANTTTTTTTTTTTTTTTTTTTTTTTTTACAGAGGTGAGTTTGGGGATGAGTCCAGCTGCTAGAAAGCTAGGTGGGGTAAGGGGCGGCAGGGTGGCCTGCATCTCCCAAGAGGTGCTCCCACTAACAATGGCAGAGTGTGCTACCTTAGGGACTGTTCCCACCTGGTTGCCTGTTGTTGGGCTTGAGACCCTCAATACCAGTGGGCTTGAAGCCCCCGTGGGCCCACTCCAGCATGGGCTTCAGCTGGTCCTCCAATGAGTCTCCAGGGCTGCTGGGGAAGTTCTTGCCAGCTCGCACCCTGGCTTTCTGCCAAGATATAAAGGTATAAAGTCTGTGTGAATCGGGGTGGGGACAGGGGTGCTTGCCAGGCCATACCCAGGGATTCCCCCAGCTGGGGCCTATATTCCCCTTCACAGTGGGCTGCTTCATAACCAGACAGCTGTCCTGGGCTGTGGTATATGATGGGGGAAGAAGGGCCTATGCAGAGACATAGGCAGAAGGCTGGTGGGGTGCAGAGAGGAGCAGGTCTGCAGTTATGTTTTTCCATATGGGGACCAAATATGATTTCTTCTATATGGGAAGTGTGAGTAGTCAGCTCCCTCTCAAAGCACAGAGGAATCAGAATTAGCCATGCCACTTTTACAGTACAGGAGGAGCCTCAGCACCTTGTCTAAGAAGGCATCAGATTTCTTCTACCTCCCTAATGAAGATGAGAATACAACAAGCATCCTATAAGACGGAACATGAGAATGTCTAAGCACATGACAACTATCAAAGACTGGCTCAGAAACGCTAGACAAAGACAGTTCCAAGTCAAGGAGGAAGGAGGGAAAGTCTAATGGTTTGCCAGGGATAACATGGGCCACAGGTAAGAGGAGGAGGCATCTGGCCTGGGCAGCTTCCCAATCTTGGCCTTGAACCCCAGCACTCAAAGGAAGGAGGCTTTGGGTTCTCTGGAAAAGCATATTCACTAATAAGAACATTGCTCACCACTGGCAGTACCAATAGCCATCAGGTGGAAGCTGGGAGGTAATGGGGAGTCCCAAAACACTTCTCAGTCAAGCCCATAATGCCAGCAGTACATTGGCGTTCACCTCCACCCTGGTCACCTGTCTCCTCCAAGCCATCCTTGGCAATGCTGTGGACTTAGCTAGCCTTCTGTAGTCTCCTGCTTCCTCCCTGCTCTCAGGACCAAGTCCATGTCCCCCATCCCCATGATACCTCAAGGGCGTGGTACATGGCCTTTCTGTAAGAGACAAGCTTATTGAAGGTGGCCAGGTTAAAGTGCTGGCTGAACAGCCCCAGTGCCATCAGTTTGTCTGCAGAGACCTGGAAGAGAAAGACTTCATCAACATCTGCCTACACATGTGTCTCACAGGTTCATCCATCAGGAGGGAAGGCATTCACACACTTTACTGAGAGCCCAATTCCTGGGGATAAAGTTTACAAATGTCACTCAAAAGCATAAATAAATAGAAATGGTACAGAGTCCTGATACCCTACAGCCAGAGCATGGTAAGTATGATACTCCAAATGTGGGCAATGATACCATTAGATACACCCAGAGCAAATGACTCCTGAGGCTCAGTAATGAAATTCACCATGGGTACTCCAACATGAGGGTTTTACACGATTTCCCCTCCTTTCTGAGCATGATGCCAATAGTCTACTCCTCAGCTTTCATTTAAACTATGGGTTTAGTGAACAGTGCTAGGCACAGAGTAAGCACTTTAGTTAGTTTTTATGATTATTTTAGTTATTGTGATTTGACCCATATTCTCCAAGTCTCCCCATGCCAAATCCCCAGGCCACACATGAACAGTTCAGGCTTCCACTGAGAAAAGATGAAACTGGGTATTCAGAGTTGCTAATCAGAACTGAAAGACAACTGGAGTGTTCCATTCCCATGTAGAATGCTCATACTCACGCTAACCTCCATTTTGCCCCCAAGACTCTAAGAAGGGGTGAGAACTGCTAAAATGCAGGTGCTACTCCCAGCACTAAACTTCTCCAATACAGTGAGAATAGCAGACATGTGTTGAACAGATCCAGCCCAAGTTTTGGCCCTTGGCCAGGCCCAGAGTCAGGCCTCACATTGTAATTTCATCCCACATGCTAACAGCCCCATACTGCATCTTATTAGCACTAGACCCTGTCCTGCAGAGCATCTTTTATGTCTCCCTGAGACAGAGCAATTACAAACAATCCATCTTCCTTCATTTCACAGAAGTCATTTCCCACATCCCTAGAATCAGAGGTGCTTCAGGACCAGCAGAGGCCCAGGCCACTTATCCTTCTGCTCCCTCTGCTGGTCAAAGATGATATTTGCATGCAGTCTCTTACCAAGGAGACTCCATGTCCCATATTCCTGCCCTTTGAAAACTTTTATGTTTATAATAAATGGCCCCAAGGGAGCCCAATTCATGATAAAACCAGAATCTCAGCTTGAGGTTGAATCCAGGATTCAGGTCCTTCATTCCCACGTGTGCCACCATCCTGCCAGGCTTGCTGAGCATCCAGCTTGCCTTGTGACCTTAGGTTCCTCACCTAACCTCTTGGGATGGTGGGGGCTAGGGTGGGGAGGGGGTTTGAGGATTGGTATATCTAAAAGGAAATGTCTGTCTGCACTAATCCAATCAAAACCTTTGGAGATCTCAGAATATGCTTTCAACAGGGTACGAGAATCAAAACAGCTTTACTTATCCCATAGAGCTCTTCCCAACATTTGTTTTTTAAATGGCTAATTTCAAACCCAGAGGATCTGAAATAACCAACTCTTTAAGGCACTTTTTCATAACTGATACCAGGTGATCGAAATCCCATTTCTAGGCCCACAACCGGGCCCTTCCCTTCTCCTTCCCCGTTAGTGACCCCACTGTTCCTGTCTCTTCTTCCAGGCTTCTCCACTGAACACTTCTGGCTACCTGCCCAGATGGCACTCCTGGCCCCTCAAAGTCCATACTGATGGTTCTGCTCCAGAGAAAATAAATCCAAAAAATTAAAGTGGCTGTGGATCCAGAGAGTTTCCCAGCTCTCTGTACTCCGTGAGAGTAGACTGAGCTCTGACCCTGGAGCCTAAGTATCTATATTTAAGCTGTTTAACAAGGGAAGCTTCTGTCCCTCCTTTCAGACAGTGTCAGGGCTTAGCCTCATTCATCAGGAGAAAGCAGTCTTTTTTTTTTTTTTTTTAAAGATGACCTGTAAGGGGATCTTAACTCTTGACTCGGTGTTGTCAGCACCATGTTCACCCAGCAAGCTAACCAGCCATCCCTATATGGGATCCAAACCCATGACCTTCGTGTTATCAGCACCACACTCTCCTGAGTGAGCCACAGGCTGGCCCAGGAGAAAGTAGTCTTAAAAGAAAGCCACAGGAAGTCTCTGCAGCCACTCCAGACCCTTCCTTGTCCTGGACTCACCTCAGAGAACTTGCCGTCTCCAAACCACTGGACCCATCGCATGCCAGACATGGCTTGGCGCTTGGAGGTGGTCTTCCAGGACACCACCATGGCGGGCCACCAGGAGAAGCCCTTTATCTTTCCCCACACAAGGTCCCCTATTCCAAACTCCTTCCCATCCTGTAAGAAGAACCAAATGAAGGGATCTCAGTAAAGTAATGAGATACATCACCCTAAGCCAGGTCCTGCCCGCCCCACTGACCCTGAGGGCAATGTAAAGCTTGCCATAAAATGAGCAATGCCCATGAAAAAAACAAGTTATTAAAGTATACCTACAGTATGATGTACTCTCAACTAATATACATAGGAAAAAGAAATACACCATATGTGTACATACATGTGCAAGATGCTTTCATGCAGCGATGCTTGAGTGAAACCAACAAGCTCAACGAGTTAATTAAACTATAATCCAAAGCACTGGATGTATTATATACACATGAAAGGGAGGCAACTCTAGTTCTCCATGAGTGAAAAAAGCCAGTCTACAATTGCATGTCTAATATGATGCATAGAATCATATTATGCATTGTGCACACTGAGTACTTATTTCTGTGTACATATGTGATATTCAGAAAAATCAGTATTCAGGTGGGAAATAAGTGAGGCTTGACTTATGTCTGGGAGGGAAACAGGGTAAAGGACCATTTTGCATATGGAAAACAATTAGAATAAACTCAAATATTACAATAAAAATTGACAAAAATCATAGCAGTACATCACTGTAAGTACCAACATTAGTAGTTAACTACTTTCCCCATATTCAGCATCTTTGGCCACCCTCAGCAGCAAGCCCTTCTTAGTGGTACCTGATACTCTGCACTGTCTCCATCTCTACTCTCCACATCCACCAGGGGAGACTCCAAGCTGTCCTGCTGGCTGTCCTGGGCTAGGCGGGCATAGGGGGTACTGCTGCTCTGGGGTGTCACTTCTGTGTCATCTACATCATCTGTGAGGTCGATGGTGAGGTAAGGGCTGGCAGGGGATGGCCACGGCGTGCCTGCTGATGCCCGCCGCCTCAGGGACTGTGGACAGAAGGACACAAGGTTTGGGCCACTGCAAAGCAGGTGGGTGACCAGAGACCAGTGGAATCCCCAAGTGCTTCCCGGGCAAGCAGAAGAGTGAAGACATAAGTTAAAGAGAGAACAAGAGACCACCGAGGATGTTTTTCCAGGACCACTGATTCCTTCCTTGAGTGGTGGCAGAAAGTCATTGCAACCACCCAGAGACAGACAAGAAAGAGACAAAGGAACAATGACCAGGTGCTCTAAGAGCCAAGCCCACGGAAACTCACTGGCTTCTTTGAGCACGCACTGTGCATACAACCTTGCAACAGGAATGGGAGTGTTGCTGTACCTGCTGGGGTTGCCTCAAGACAGGTGAAGACACTAGGGAGACAAGATGGTTCTGGGAGTTTGTACTTTCCAGCTCATTTTCCAGGTGAGGCAAGAACCCAGAATTCTTGCATTCCCAACAAGATCAGGCCAGAGGAGAAGCCAGCTGTCTTAAGAGAAGCTTACACAACACCCAAGAGAGAAAGGAAAAGTGAGATCCTGAAAAGCAGGTTAATTGTGAAGATGAGCCAGACTATACACCAGCCCCAGCCAGTGGTGCAGTGAGAAGTAGACTCTCCAAGTAGAGGCCAAAGGCAAGGGTCTGGGCATCTGGGGAACCAACCCTGGTAGCCGGGAACTCCACAGGGGACTCGTCCACGTGATTGCGGCCCAGCCGGCCTCGGGACAGACGTGGGGAGGGCCTGTGCCTCGCCCGGCTGGAGGCACCGTTGTTATTTCGGGTTCGGACCTGGAAGCAAGATAAGCAGTGGCCCTTAGGTGACTCAAGGCAGCAGGGGGAGGTCTGGGATGGGGCCTGTGGGGTTCAGCCTTGAGGTACGCAAGGACATCTGGTAGCCTCAGGTCAACTGGAAGTGAACAAGGTAATTAAGAAGATGGGGACTCTGAACTGATGCCTCCCCCACCCAGAAATTCCCCAGTCCGTGGGATAAGGGTGGTGAGGTGGCCAGCGGTGCCACCTGACAATCAACAACAGATCCTGCTCTGCCTGCCACAGCAGACTTGCCAGCTGAAACTGACACCTGCAAATTGGCATTGAAAAATCAAATCCATATTCACCATAAACCAAGGCCAGTTATTGGGTTCTTCAGGTAGGTACTGGGTCATCAAAACAGAAGAGAAGCCCTTAGGCATTATGTTCTTACTCAGAATGGGTGTTGCAAACCTCTACTCAAATTCTGTCTATAAGAGTTCATGTTTAACCTTGGTTAAGTTACTATAATGTTCTCTCACCTGTAAGAAGGGGATAATACACACCATACGCTGGGAAGGTGAGATTATAACCCACACCTGGAATAGTCACCAAGTGTCAGTCTGGTCTCTAATGGGCTGGGTGCCCATTTGCAGACCTCAAACTGTTTTTGAGCCACTGAATCCACCCACAGAAGTGTTGGAGCTGTCATGGGTATCTGGTGGCTGAGCCACCACTCTGCACACTCCATCACCCTTGAGCATTGCACTTCCAGGAATGTTCCAAGAAAGAACTTAAAAACTCCACATGAAAGAAATGGCATGTGAAGGAAAACCTCCCAACAATGACAGTCCAATTTCAACACAGTTGTTCATATCTCTTCGAAGCTCCCCCAGGGAGATCTAAGACATGTTTTTATGCAGGCCCATGAGTAGTGAGTGGGAAGGACCTTGGCTCGGCTTGTGGGGACTTACAGCTGGGCTTTCAGAACGAATCCTGGTTTCACGGAAGAGTTTTGGCATCACTGGAGTGTCTGAGCCATTCCCGTCTTCCCCCTCGCCTTCTCCATCACCTGTCAGATCCTTTACAATGGAAACACAGTCAACTTTGATATACTTAAGAACTTGCATGAGCAAGATAGTTCTCAAAAAGTCAATCGTATTGAAACCTGTGATAACATTGACCCAAGAGATCTAAAAATATTTAACTACCTCATTTTTTTCCAATAACATTTTACAATGGTTCACCATGGGATCATGAATCCAAGATAGGGTGAAAACATAAAAAACCCCAGTGGAATCAGCAAGTCAAAGCAATGCCAAACTAGCAGAGTCCTGGTCAGTTATCCCAATTCACAGCACATGGGAGAAGATACAGGCCAGCTGCTCCAGGGAGATGCTTCTTGATAAAATGACCAGAAAGCAAGGCCACTAACCTTGCACCATATCATGCAGACTACCTGGTACAGCCCCATGCCTCACACTAAAACCCAACAGAAAATAAACACAAAACCTGGAGCAGTGCACAGTGGCCAGAAGGTCTGGCTGGAGTGTTATAAACTTGACTTTTCACTTACCAATGTGTGGCCTTGAATGAGTCCATTTCCCTCTTTTTAAAATTGGAATAACAGTACTTCTCCCTCATAGCACAAGGCCAGTGAGAATAATGCATGCTTAGCCCAGCACTAGGCACAAAGGAAATGCACACACAGGAGACTTCATGACCATTCCTGATTATGAGCTACCAGAAATACAGTAGCATCCTCAGCCTCTGATCCAGCACAGCTCTTGCTCCTCTTCATCTGGGTCAACTTAGTAGGCTGCCCACCGCTAAGAGAATGGAAGCTGAGGATGACTTTTCATTGTCTGTGACTTTTGTCTATGACTGTCCAATGCCTGACACTGGCTCTTTGACAAAAAGTAGCAAAACTGACAAAACTAAGATTAGAAAACAGAAGGCATGCATAAATTAAGGAATGAAAAACATAATGGAAAAACATAACGTTTTTCTAACTTGTAAAATAAATTCCTTGCTATTACATAATCCTAATATCAAAACTACAGATACATTTAAAGAAAATCATGCATCCATTTTATCCAGAAATAGATGAATTCAAAACATACCATGACCAAGTTGGACTCATTCCAGGAACAAACGTACAGTTTGCTATACAGTAGTCCCCCCTTATCCACAGGGCACGTTCCAGGACCCCTCCATGGATGGCTAAAATTGCAGTTTTAGTACAGAACTCTACATATACTCTATTTTCGTATAGGTACATACTAATAAAAGTTCAATTTATAAACTAGGAACAAGGACTGGCCAGTTAGCTCTGTTGGTTAGAGCACAGCCTTGTAACCTCAAGGTCTTGGGTTCGGATCCTCCTACCGGCCAGCCGCAAAAAAAATTTAAAAATAAAAAAAATAAAGGCACAGTGAAATAGACAGTTATAACAATATACTGTAATAAAGGTTACGCGAATGGGGTCTCTCTCTCAAAGCATCTGTACTCACCAGAGTTAATCTGTCCTTCCACATTTTATGCTCTGATGCCTCCTTCACACTTTTATGAATGTAGCTTGTACTAGGCATCTTCTGCCCAGTTTCACTGTAATCAAGACTTGCTTTGGGTGCTATCCTTTCTCCCTTATCAACTTCAACTCTGCCATAGGCAGACTCAGCCTCTCCAGTAACGTTTATATTCTTTAGGCCAAACTATTCACTCATGTCAGGGGATCCCTCACTGAAGTCTTTCTATAGGCTCAATGCTTTCTGGCGCAACACGTTGCATCAACCGGAACACGTTTTCTGTCCATGTCCTCCATGCACAAATTTAACGCGTTTTCCGTCTTCACTAACCACCTACCACGTGTGGCCTTAACTTTTGCAGTTTGAGGTGCAACAGCAAAACTAGCAGGAATTTCTTTTTTCCTTCTTCACAATTTCACAGACAGAATATTCGTTCTTACTGTAGATCTTAGCAACCTCTGCATACAATTTTTCTTATTAGGTCGAGAACTTTCAACTTTTCACTTATAGGAAGCACTTTACGGCTTCTCTTTGGCATATCTAAAATTGCAGCTTCACTCCTCTTCTGCTTTGGGGCCATTATTAAGTAAAATATGGGTGACTGAAATGAACACAAGCACCTCAGCAACCATCTGACAACTAAGATGGCCACCAAAAAAACTAAGTGGAACATATACAGTATGGACAAATGGATGATTCACGTCCCAGGTTGGAAGCTGTAATTTTTAACTTATGAATTGTTCATTTCTGGAATTTCCCATTTAATATTTTTAGCCCTCAGTTGACTGCAGATAACTGAAACTGTGGAAAGTGAAACCCAAGGATAAAGGGGGACTACGGTATTAGAAATATTATCAACGACCACCCAGATTGAAAAAAAAATATCCAAAATATGCATTAAGCATCTAGTAAAAACGAACTTCCAACTTTAATTTGCAGATGCCAATTTTTATGGGCCTCAGTTTGCTCATTTCATGGAAGCTAAAAGAAATGTCCCAGGGCCAGCCCGGTGGCGCACTGCTACAGTGCGCCGCTTGGGAGCGTGGTGGCGCTCCCGCCGAGGGTTCGGATCCCACATACAGACCGGTTCCCGCTCACTGGCTGAGCGAGGGGTGGGCGCAGCACCGAGGGTTGCAATCCCGTTGCCGGTCCCGGTCCAGTACGGGTGCGACACTGAGGGTTGCGATCCGTTGCCGGACACGGAAAAAAGACAAAAAAAAAAAAAGAAATGTCCCAGAACCCTGAGGAGAAAGAAACCATACCTGAGTGTAACTTAACAGACTGGAGACCTCCCTCTTGGACAGTCGTGAGCTTGATCTGCGGCCTATGAAGGAAGCAGGTGCTTTAAAGAAGGGGCAGGCTCCAGCCTGGGGGACAGCCTTGCTGACAGCAGCTGTGCTGAGGCCTCCTCTCAGGGCTGTGGCCTTGGATCTCCCCAAAATCAGTCATCCTCGAGAGTTAACTCAGCCCTCAGTATACCTCGTCTTCTCTATGTATTCCTACATAAGACCCGAAACAACTCTGTGAAGGCACTAATGAAGGAGGCATTCCTTCCAGAGAACAGTGCTGTCCAAGTCAATGTTAAATGAACAATTCACTGTCTGCCTTATCAGCCACAGTTCAAGTGCTCAAATGTGGAGTGGCTATTGTGGTGAACAATGCAGAAATAGAACCATTTCTTCCTTGCATAAAGTTCTATTGGACGGCACAGCTCTCAGCAGATAGGACAATACAGGGGTTTCCAAACCAGCTGGGGCAGAATCCCATGTGATCTGGCTTGGATATAGCTAAAGACAGGGAAGAAATGGAAGCCTCCCCCTTGGAGTGTTTTTTTTTTTATCACATCACAACCCCAGTCCAAGCTGAGGGGAGAGGTGGGTATCCCACTTCCAAAGACCCCAGCCTATGCCAAGACCACCCCCATCTTGCCTCATTCACCTCAGAGTCCTTTCTGAGATGAGGAGTACGGGGTGGGAGGGGCTGTGAGCAGGGATGAGAAAGGGGTTTGGACCTCTCCCCCAAACCTCCCTTGAATCTGCCAAGAGGCTCATGTCCCAGCTATGGTCTGCAGCTGGACCCCATCCCCTACTCCCCACCTCTGATCTCAGGGGTACGGATTGCCTCCAGGATCGGGGGTGAGTCGGAGGACTGGTCGCTGCAGGCCCCGTTGACGATGACAGAGTCTTCCCTCCCGCTGGCGTCGTCCTCTCCATTGAGATGTCTGGTGTCTCCCTTCATTGTTTCCTGTGGGAGAAGGCCATTATGGGTGGGGATGAAGGGAAGCGGGGGCACCAGTGGGCAGCACACCCCATGCTTCCTGTCATTGCCCCTATGTCCTCAGGCTGAGAGACCCCATGTCCCCTTCTCAGGGTGACACTCCTGCCCAGGTTTTGTCCAGGCTGCCCCCCCACAGCCTAACCCCTCACCAAACTCAGAGGCTCAGGACTTGGTTCCATTGCCCAGGCAATCCCAAAGGCTCAGACGCCAGCACACAGGACACAGGGAGGGGCCGGGGCTGGGATCAGAGGCTCAGGTTGCTCTGTGCAATTAGCCAGCCCTTCAAACAATGCCATTTAGGACCAGCCTGCCCTGGCCTGCCTGCCGACAGCCTCAGTCCCCTCTGGCCCTCACCCCCTCACCCTGCCCAGCCTCTGCAGGGCCTCAGGAAGCCAGGGCATTATTTTCCCTCCTGACCCCTTTGTTTGCTCTCCCTTCCCCTCAATCTCCAGGTCCTCTTCCCACCGTCCCCTCCTCCCCAACAGAACAGCTTCTCTCTTCTCCATGGCAGCACAAGCCCCGCCCCACCCCATACTCTGGGGCCCATTGGTCTGCTGGCCTGTCGCTCACTCCCCTCCTCCCTCACCAGCTGAGGCTCAGAGTCCCAAGTTCCCAAGAAGGGAAGGATGGAAGAGGTAGAGGCAGGAGGGCTGGGGACAGTTAACAGGAGAGACATGCCCCTGACCCTGTGCAGGCTCCCCCCACCTCTGGGACTAGGTCTCCCCACTGCAGCCCTTCCTGGTAACTGCATCATCACAGGGTAAAACAGCTCAAAGCCAGGTCCTCACTAATGGGCTGATGCTTTGTGGTTGGCCTGGCCCATTGCCAGCAACACCAGGGGCACTTAACTTCACATTGGTTGGATGCAAAAACCTGCGACTTTCTCCAGGGTGATTGTGGTCCCATTCTATAGAAAAGGAAAACTGACACACAGACCAGATTAGTCACCAAGTTCAAAAATTATATCCAGGAGGTGTGGCCACTATAGTCTGGGCCTAATGATTCTGGGCACGAACGCTAGCTGAAACTATAATTCCCAGAAATCACTGGCCTTTGCTTTTTGATCCACCTTTAAGGATCCCAAGCTCTTATTCCTTAGTTTCCTTCCCAAAAGCTCCACATTGCTCACACCGTACCCTTCTGTCCTGGAGCCCACCCGGGAAAAGCTTCCCCAATAAGGGGCTGCCCGTCTGCAACGGGCCCTCCCTGCCTGTGCCCCATCTCTCCAACCCCTGCCTGGTGACCCACACTAGCCTCCCAGGGTACCTTCTAGAAGCAGCACCAGGGCTACCCGACTGCAGACTGCATTGGCGCCAGTAAAACTATGCCCACCAGGGGGCGCTGCGGGGCTCAGTTTGAAGAGGCCTGTGTGACGCCCCCAGGAGGATTTGCAATTGGTGCCGTCCATAGCCCAGGTAGGGGTGCGGGTCTTCTAGACCTCTGCTCTTCCGTATGTGTCCCAGCAACCAGCACCCTTGGTCCAGCTGCTTTGGCATCACCTGGGAAGTGGTTAGAACTGCAGAACTTTCCGGCACTGTCCTAGACCTAAGGAATCAAGATTTTAACCATGATTCCTGGGTGGTTTCTCTACCGCTTATGGGCCAGGGTATGTGTTTCAGCTCCTGGGATCTTGGTTCTCTCAACAAATATTAAACATATTAAAGAATCTCGGCGGGGTGGGGGGCTAAGGAGCGGGGGAGCCACCCCTACAGGAAAAAGGACATGCCTGACCCAGCCCAGTCAGCTGCTTCTCAGCTCCTTTTCTGTCCCAGCTCTGACTGGGAAGTACAGGATGGCTGACCTGTTGCCAGTTCCTGTGAAGCCAAGTGGCCTGAATCCCAGGAGAACTACTGGAGTGTGGTCCACAATTATCACAAGTGTTTCGCCTCAGGCCAAATCAGTGCACTAAGTAACCAGGATGGTCTGGCATGGCCTGGGAGGCCAGACTACCAGGTGTTAGGCCCCAAGAGGGTCCAACACCACAGAGAGCTCTGGGGGTAAGACAGGGGACACCTAAGGATTTGTGGTCAGGAGCTGGTGGCAGGTCAGGGCCTCCAGGGACCAGGGTTCCAGCTAGTCATAGGTTTCTCAGGCCACATTGGACCCCAGCTACACAGACAGCCCCTAACTGGGTCAACATGAAGCCAGACAGGAGTCTCCCTTCCTAGACAGGTTCAGGTGGACCCTGAAGCCTAGAGCTGACAATAATTAACTTCCTCAGGCCTTCCTGAAGGGCATCAGCCTGCCAACTTGCCCGCCAGCCTACTGGAAATGTGGGCAGTGCACCTTCCCAAAGCCAGATCTCAACATTCAGGAAAAACGTCCTGCCTTAAGAGCCAGACGCATGGATATTGAAGGAAGATTCTTCGAAGGAAATTCACTGTTAAGTGACACTGGCTGTCAGGGTACTCAACGGTGAGCTGGACAAGTAAAATACGCCCCCTTCCCATTGCATAATTAAATGATTTCATTAAAAATTCCTTCCCTGTATTTTTATAATCACCCTGGGTTTGTAGGAAAATTTACCCTCCCTGCCTTCCTGACCTAACTGTATAGACAGCACATACCAACTTCCAAACCAATGATTGAAAGATGCCCAGCTCAGCTCCTTTCCCCTGTCCACATTCTACACAAAAGCCAAACTGATGCAGTCATCAGGCATGCGCTGCTGCTCCTCCCTCAGCCTGGAAGTCTCCTCATCTCTCTACCACATGCCTTCTTCCTTCTCAGACTTCAACACCCACAGTTCAAGAGCCAGGAAGGCTTCTCTAAGCCCTCTCCTCTGAATGTAATCTGTCCCATCCATGTAGATAGATGTGTAATGTGTCAGGCACTAGTCTGTACTTTACCTGTACTACATTACCTATATTACAGCTGATCGGGAGAGTGTAGTGTTAGTAACCCCAGGGATCACAGGTTCAGATCCCCATACCGGCCAGCCAAAAAAACCCATTACCTGTATTAACTCATTTGATCCTCAATATGGTAAGTACTATTATCCCTATTTTGCAGATGGAGAAACAAATACAGAGGTTAATCAACATAACACATTAATCAAAGACCACGGAAATTAAATAAGTTGCAAGTTTAACTACATGCTACTGGAAACAGGGAGAGTTATTAGCATCAGGTTGGTGTGTAATGGTTTTGACAAATCTCCCACCTCTTCCCATGTACCTCAGTTTGGCTTCTAGTGATTCAAGATTACCATTTCCTGGATCATGTGGCTCTCTTCACTAACCAACTGCTTTATCTAATGTGATCATTCCAGAGCTAGAGGATAAATTGGCTAAGTTACCTCCCTGAGGGAGGTGGCACCTTCCTAAAGGATTTTCCCAGAGTGGCTGACATGCTGGCTTTAGAGCTGTGTCATGCCAGTTCTAAGTACGGGCCACAGTTTTCAGGTCCCTCCTGTCAGCTGACCACAATACAAACATCTCCTTTAACCTCCACCCCATCCTGAGGCAGGTACTATTATTAACCTGCTTCCAACAGGCTCCGATGAATTGATTTAGTCACCCAGCAAAGTGGCAGTGCCAAGTCTCATGCCCAGGCAGTCCAGGGCACGTGCCTGTAACTGCTGTGCCCTGAGCCTGGGCAGACGAGTATTATAAATGTGATAAACAATGCATCACCCATCCCAGGGCCTAGGGCCGCTTTACGGCTGAGACATGATACCAGCTGAGTGTTTACCTTCACAGGAGGTGGCTCCCTAGCCTCGTGATGAGGTGAACTTTGACCCTTTCCCAGAGGCTGGGGTCCAGCATGTGATTCAGGGGTAGGCAGCAGTGCTGTGTGGGCCCACCTTCAAGGTTCTCCTACAAGGGGTTTCCTAATTAGTGCAGGGTGCCTGTGCCCTGACTGAACCAGGTCAGACATGCTCAAATGCAATGTGGCAGACAGAGGGGTGGGCGGCACCCCCCAATTAGACTCAGAGGCTCAGGGACTCCCCCCAAGCCAGCAATAAAGTTGAGAACTGATGTCATTCATTTCCTCCAGGCTGGCACCAGCAGCTGAGCTATTTCGCAGTACCTTGTAAATGTTAATTGCATTAAGTAAATCTCACAATGTGGTGGGGTGGGGGGGGTCAGTAGGCATGATGAGGGAAGAGGGTGGAAGGGGGGCCACTTGGACAGCTCTGCCCCACCCCCAGCCCCCCAGGGTAAAGTAAAAAATTAATTAGAAAGTTAAAAATTCCTTAAGTCTCCACAGCCTATGAAAGGGAAATCTAAACTCCTGATCCTCCCCTGGAATTGCTCAAGTCTTTCTTCCCGTTCCCACTGCCCAAGATTCCTTAAGAACTGCTGAGACGGAGTGATTGCCCCATATCACAATGAAAGCAGAGACCAAGCTGCTCTTCCCAGCCCTCATTTTACAGATGAGCAAACTGCTCAGGGGGAAGATCTTCTACCCAGGTTCAAAGCCACTAAGGGAGATTCAGGCCTAATCCAGGAGATAGATCGTAAAAGGCATCACTAAACAATGTGGCAAACGTAGCTATAAAAGTTAAGGCCGGGGAGGGTCATCTCACACAGGTGAGTGGAGAACAGGGGAGGCGTTCAGGGTGCAGGGACCGTATATGCAAGGGCAAGGGGACCAGAAACAGACCGCCCACCTGGCTGGGGGCAGAGCCCAAGGTTCAGGTCTTATGTCCGTAAGGAACTTCCACTAAATTCCAGAAAAGATCAGACTTACAAGAGAGCAGGAAAGAGCCCTCAATGTTTTTCTCAATGCCCTGTTGTCACCTGTGAAATAAACTGACCCTACCTGATTCACTGGGTAGTTGGTGCTGAAGATATCAAAGGAGACATGCTCACGAGCCCCGAAGATCACCCATTCTCATGTGCCATCTTGCCACCTCCCCAGCTCCCTTCGTCCTCCATGATTCAGAAGGTGTTTGGGAACTGCTCAGTGCCTCCAGGTCCTGAGTGCATGTATCACTGCCACTACACAGTAAAAGCCAGGGCTTGGCTATTAATCAAAGTTACCCACCTATAATCTATCCAAGCAGGGGAAAATTGGACAAGTGTAAAACCTGGCCAGGAGGATGTGCCTTGCAGCATTGTTCATTATAGCAAAACACCAAAAAATACCCAGATGCTGTCAATGAAATGAGATAAAATTATAAAGGATTACCTTTTAGAAAACTCACAGGAACAAAACCTAGGAGCAGACATTAAGATCTGAAAAGATATGGGAAATTAAGCGTCTAATTCTTTACCCTGTATATCAAAATGCAAGTAAGGAGCCCCTTCCCACTTTGGGAAAGGCTTAGAAGAGTGTGAAGCCCCAAAGGGGCAGTGAATCCTAACTCAGAAAGAGGGGTGGGGTGGCATAAGAAGCAGAGGATTCTGGGTGCTGCCACACCCACTCCTGTGGCCATCGCCCCTTTGTAAAACCAGAGTGAAAGGCCCCCTGCCCTCTTCCAAGGGCACTAA